AGGGTAAAAAAGTATATCATTCGATTCGGTTTTCGACGCAAACTCCGAATATGATATTTTTATTGCATAAAAAATGAGTTCTGATGGAGAAAATAGAGAATTACGGGCAGAATTGTGATTGTTTCGCCCGTGATTGAGAAAGAATGTACTTTCTCAGAAATGAAACAAATTTTTGGAAAAAGCGATGCATACTTTTGTTCGCCTTTAAATGCTGATTGGAATAGCTTATGACGATCGGAGAAAACTTTCAAAACCAGGGAGGAGATAGGTTTGCGAGAAAGGTTGCTGATTTTGTCGAGTGCTTACTCTTGCCAAGATTGTGCAACACAGGTATTTTGTTTTTTGTGACTCAAAGGTGAATGATTAGACTCAGTTTTGGATGGGGAATCCGAATATATCAAATTCGAAAGATTACAGTCAGCGGAAGCGGTCACAATCTCAAGTTTTCTCAGAGTGATGCAAATCTTTTGTTTTGTCGGTGCTCTTAGTATTTTGAGAATTTCTCCCCAAAAACTTGATCGAATTCGAATAATATTTGGAAGTCTACGTTCAAGTGTCTTTTAGACGTTTTTGCATTTGATATTCACAGTATATTTTATAATTTTATTTATTTTCAGTTGAAAGTGAATCGTTTGAAGAATCGGGCATATCGCAATCGTCATTAACAATAATTCGTCATTTAACAGCAATAAAAGACGAAATAAATGATATTAATGAAAAAAATCCAATGGACGCAAGCATCCTGAAATTGTGTAAAAAGGTTATTTTATACAAAACAGTTGTATTTTCTAAAACTATATTAAATGATTTACACCTGGGTGTAAACGTAGAAAAAGTTCTGATGCATTTGCAAATACGTGGCATCATTCAACATGGCAAATTTTTACAAAATTCCAAGTCGTCCCTTGATTCATATATAAAGAAATTGCCAATATCACATAATGTAGTGGAAGAAGAAATATTTAGTAAGCGATTATCCACATTTGAAATCACATTGGAAGAATATATGAACACGGTCAACATCATAGCATTATCACCCAAATTAAAATGTTACTTGTCAAATCTTGGCAAAAACGTTCTTCAAAGTCCACCATATGATGCATTAAATATAGAAATATTAGAAAACGCTATACATACAAGAAATGAACAAGAAAATGAATTTCTTAAACAAAATGAAGAAAATGAAAAAGGTACGTATTTTATACATTTTGAGCGAAGCTTCACAAGGAGAGTAAGGAACTTCTGAAGAATTTTTGACAACAGAAAACTGAAAAGAAAAAGGCAGAAGTTTGAGATGTTTTAAAAATCAATAAAACCATTTAAAATTCAGTGAATATTAAAGTCACGTAAACGTCTTTGGAAACCTTGTGATTATTTCAAATTATGCTTAATCTAAATTTTTTATTTTAAATCGTCCCAAAAGTTTGATATACTGTTAATGAAGAAAGAATTACAAATTTTTTTTCAAGTTCATGTTACCTTGTATTACAATTGCAACCTTTTTCAGATAGGAATGAATCAGTTGCAAGTCAACGACAATCAACAAATCAAGAAAGTTCGACAGTCAGTCGGAAGCGCAAGTCAAAATCAACGGTCTCAGATGAAGAAACATTACCAATAAAACGTGTACGTAAACCAAGCGCTAAAGGTGAAGGATTTGCAAATGATAAATCTAAGAAAAAATAAAAACCCGCTTTTTTATTGTAACTTCTCATTATTATGTTTGGCTTTGGCCAAATGTTTATGTTTTCTTTTGGCTTTGATTGAAATCAATCAAAACAAATTTCTATTTGAAGGTCTTTTGAGTGTCTTTTATACAAAAGATTTTTTCTTATTTTTATATTTTGTTCATATAAAAACTCTTCCGCTTTCACAACAAGGTATCATTCCTGTTTTTTTCTTCATATTAAGTTACTATCTTGAGTAACTTAAGATTTTGAGAGTTTTCGTTCATGTTTTCTTACTAGAAGCATTAAGAAACTTTGTTACTCTCTTATCTTCTACAGTGGCCTACAGACAATAGTTCTTTGGGGTATTTGTTCTTTACCCATTATTCAGTGTGACTGTATATATTTTTTGTTTCGTTGACTAGTGTTC